GTTCAGAACCGGCTTGGGGAGATCGAACTGGTGGAACGGATGCTGGAAAGCCCAAATCCGCTTCTCAATCGACTTGGCCATGGTCAACAGAACCAAGCACTGGTACCCCCATCTCCTGTTCAGCGCAATCATGAACAGAGCCCGGCAGATACGGCCGGCCTGCTGAGCAACATAATTCAAGTCGTTTGTCAGCGCAAAGTCCTCTGGCTGGAGCCTTGAGATGTATGCCTGCAGCAGGATATTGGTCTTTGTCTGCGGTGTGTCAATGCCGCCCTTGATCTCGTACGGGATAAAGTGCTGGTTCGCCTTCATCCGCGACAGCTCGTCGGCCTCGTTGTTTCTCGACTGAATGTTGTCAAACTCGCCAGACATGGCAATCATCATGAGGATGTCCTTCTCGGCCGAGTCCCACTTCATCAGCGAGTTGAAGATTTGGATGCTGGTGTGTTGAATGTAGTATTGGCTGGCAATACGGCCGATGTCCTTGCTGCGCAGCTCCTCGGTCGTCTCGTTGAAGATGATCATCTGACTCTGCCGAAGCGTCCGGGCAGCTTGAATGGCCAGCTTGCGTCGTCTTTGGACCAGTTGAGGGTCGTCGCTGTACTCGGACCAGTCGATACCATAGGCCATCGGGTTCCTCCTCATCCGCACAAACAGATACGAGTAACCGATCCACTTGACGGCATCGTTGATCGAGGTGACGGTGCCCAGCGCTATCTCAGCGTTCAAGTTGTCCACCAACTTGGCCGAGAACTTGGACTCGATCGGTAGCTGGTCGGTCACGGCAGTGAGGTAATGAGCCAGCCTGTCGTGCGTCGTGCAGATCATGCCAATACCAGTATCCTCAAACTGGGGACGACCAGCACGACCAAAGATTTGCAGCACATCCAGAATGCCCAGGTCCACAAACTTGCCCTCCTGGGCACTGTAGACTTGGGTCCCCTTGATGACAACCGCCGCCGCCGGCAGGTTGACGCCCCACGCCAACGTTGCCGTACAGCACAAGACCTTGATCACACCCTCCCCAAACAACCTCTCCATCAAGTTCCGGTCCGACCTCGCCATACCCGCATGGTGAATGCCCAGCCCCTTTGGCACCAAGTCTCTAATCTCCCTCGCCTTCGTCTGCTTCACATCCCTCATCGCCGCCTCAAACTTCTCACTCCCACTCGGATCAAACAACCCGACACAAGCCTGATCCGTAGCCTTCTCATACAGCATCTTGGCCGTCGCCTGCGTGTCCCTCCTCGAATGGACAAAGACCATGACCTGATGCCCCTCTTCCAGCATCTCCCTCACCTTCTCAAACGCCACCTCGTCAATGTTGTCTCTCGACTGCCTCGTCCCCGCCTTCCCCTTCACGCCCAAAAAGTGCTGCTCCAACGGCACCGGCCTGAAGCTCGAATCAAAATAAAACAACCCCCTCTGCTTGTTCACGCCCAAAAAGTCGGCCACGTCCACATAATTCGGCAGCGTGGCACTCAATCCAACAATACGAATCAAGCTCTGCGTGCTCTCCACCTGCCTCTGCGTCCTCGCCACCAGACTCTCCAACACCGCACCCCTCTCATCATGAAGCATATGCACCTCATCAATGATCAACAACCTGACCTTCTGCACCAACTCGGTATCCCCCGTCCCTTTTCGTGTAACCACGTCCCACTTCTCCGGCGTCGTAACAATAACCTGCGTCTCCACCACCTCCCTCTTCGTCAGGTGCATATCACCCGTGTACTCCCTCACCCTGACCCCCAACCAAGCCAACCTCTTCCCCAACTTCTCCGTAATCTCGGCCGCCAGCGCCTTCATCGGCGCGACATACACAATCTTGAACTCTGCCAGATCAACCCCAAACTCGCTCGCGTCATGAACCTCCCCAGGACTCGGCGTCAGATACTGCCCCACCGTCTGCAGCACAGTCAACATCGCAGCATCTGTCTTTCCCGCCCCCGTCGGCGCACAGATCAGCATGTTCTCCCCCGTCTTGTACGCAACCGGGTAAACTAAGCTCTGCATCCGATTCAGACTCTCATACCCCCTAAACGTCCCCCGGCAAAGCCCATCCAGCTCCTTGATGCTGACAAGCCTGTGCCCCGGCCACAGCGTCCCCGCCCGCCCCGCGGGGATGACATACTCCTCGTGCTTTTCAAACTCCAACCTCTGACTGTTGGGCGGGAGCTTGTACTTGTGCCCGCTGTGCGACAGCGTGTTTCCACCATGGTATTGTTTGTAAACGTGGGGATACTCCTCCTCCTTTTCCCGTGCCTGTTGCAACTTTCGGCCCTTGTGCAACCGATCCCTTTCCCGTAACTGCTCCTGCCTCTGAGCTTTTGTCAGCAACCGGGTGCCAGACCTCTCTGAGGCAGCAGCGGCAACAACCTCGCCCCTGTGCAGAGACAACTCGACCACAAAGTCCAAGTCGTCAAAACCGATCAGGTCAGTCAGTTGGCTTTGCACCTCCTCTTCCGACCTCTTTCCCGCTGTCAAAATTTCCAGAATCTGCCCCTCTAATGCTTGGGCGTCAAGACCGGAGGGGTGGTTTTGGCATTTCGCCGCCAACCAGTTCAGGTCGTAAACCGTTTCCGAACTGGAAGGCCGGCCGCTGAACTGGTCGTCACCACCGCTGGAGATGTCCTCAGAGTCATCACTGTCGGAGAGGAGGTCGTCGTCGTCGTCGTCCGAGATAAAGTCCCAGATGTCCCCGTTTCTGGGGTGCCGGGGCTCAATCTCGTCGTCTGTCCAGTCGCCTTCGTTGTCGCTGTTCGTCGGGGGTGATGGTTTGAGGGTGGCCGAGGCGACGGCTGATTTCATGGCTGAGACCTGGGCGCGCCATTCTTCTAAGCTGAGGGATGGAGTCGTCATTTTTGCCGTGTGAGATTCCTGGGATTTGTGTGCCGTGGGAATGAATGATACTGGTGTTGATGGCTCAAAGGTAGGTAGGTAGGTAATCAAGTGGTGAGGTTGTGAATAGTGGGCTCAGGCTGATGAGCTACTGCTGTGTCGTCAAGGAATGGCCAGAGGTCGAGCTGTTGTTTATGCCCTTTGTTTTCAGACCGTTTATTTTTGCCGATGCGATGAAACCCTCTGAGCTCTTCAACGGCGGGAGAATCGCAGATAATCCTTCCCCCAACGAAGTGAGTTTAAGCGTTGATAAGTTGCCCCTCACAAATCAAGCTCGGCCAAGCTTGCCCGTTTGAGTCAGCCCGGAGAATGGGTTTGCGGCTCACGGCTGCTTGTGATTCATAGGTGCTTAACCCTAACCCTCCCTTTCCCCCATCTCGCAGCCCGTACGTAGTCATGTCTAGAATAACTCGAGCACAATTCAGAGGTGCAAAAATGTGTTTATCATTTTGGATTCCCATCCCATACATTATCACCCCTTAAATATATCCAAATGTGATTCCCACCAAGAAAACACCCAATCTATGTACCCAATGCATGCCAAAGCCAGACAGATAGATGTAAGTAAGCCAATGCCTTCCCCCTTTTCCTGGCCTACTAGCCTTTACCTTGCCGCCGTCATATGTTGTTGTGCTGCCATTTTGTGTCCCATTCCGTAAGAAAGATGATAATGTCCCGTCAATGTCGTTGTTGCTGCCGTGGTATCTCGATGCCATTTGTCCGCTCGCCAGTCTTCCTCCCGTGAGGTCCTCCTGCCTCCATTCATTCAGAGAGTATTAACCGCCCCCTCGAGGAAACAAAAGAAAACCCAACAACTCCCTAGCAATGAGTGTCCGAAATCCAAAACAAACAGCAAAACCCAAACAGTGCCGACCTATTCGCACCAAAATCCAAAACACCAAAGCCTACCAGAAACACAAATTCACCCCCTGTACTCCTCCCCTTCAACACACAACACCGGCACCGACTTGTTCCTCCTGACCCCAATATTCGCCGCCCCCTCCCCTCCCGTTCGCAGCCTAACCCTCCCCCCACCAGCCGCCCTCTCCGCACACTTGACCTGCTTCCTCATCCTAACCGCAGCAGCCGCATCCACTTTGCCCATCGCCTCCTTCTCCTCCTCAATAACCCCCACCCCAACCTTCTCCCTCAACTCCATGTAATAACTCCCCACCGACGCCCTCCTCCCCCTCGGCGTCCCCTCCTCATCATCAGCATCACTCCCCTCCTTTTCTCCATAAATCCCCTCCAATTTCCCCCTTCTCCTTCCCCTGCCCCTCACCCTTCCAACAACCACCCCCCTCCCCCTCACCATCTCCTCCTCCTCCATCCACCACCCCTCCCTCC